CGGGAAGCCTGCTTCTCCCTCTCCCACTCCCCCTGCTTGTGTTCCCTCTCCCGCTGTGTCTCTCTCTGTCAAATAAATTAAAAAAAAAAATCTTTAAAAAAAGAAAAAAAATTCCACAAATAAGTGGGCCTGCATAGTTCAAACCCGTGTTGTTCAAGACTCAACTGTATATGTAAAAAATCTGAAATACTCTACTTAAACTATTAGTCTCAAAGGATAAATCATTAGCCTCTACAAATAAACTACTAAAATCCAAAAGAATCTACAGGTAAACAAGAGAATGAATAAAGCTGAGTAGAATTAAATCTTATACAGCAATGAAAATGAATGTGTTACTACTACACACAACTTGAGTGAATCTCACAGAAAGTGGAGAACACACTAGAAAGAATACATACTGGAGTCCTCCATTTATACATTCAAAAACAGGCAAATTAATCTCTAATGTTAAAACTCCTTGCCATGTGGTTACCTTTAGAAAGCAAGGAAAGAGTAATTTAGAAAGGACTGGTAGGGAGTTCAGGGGAGTTTCTAGAGTCTGTAGTATTTTTTACTTCTTGACCAGGGTGATAGTTCATAGGTGACCACAGGTGTGTTCACTTTGTGAAAATTCACTGAGCCACATGCTTTCGATTTGTGCACTTAACATATATATGTTATACCTTAAGTTTCAAAAACATTTACCAAAAATTTTTCTAATCATACTCCACTGCTTAAAACATTTTAATGGCCTCCCATAGCCTAAAAGTAAAATCTAACCTGTTAGGCATGGCATATGATATGGTTCCTACCTTTAACTTAATCCTCACCTCTGTCCATCCCACATATACACTTTATATTCTAACTTACCAAATTATTTACAGGCCCAGTATGTGCTATGCTGCTTCAAATCTTCACGTCAACTTTTTTTTTTCCTAGCAATCTCCACACTCAACATGGGGCTTGAACTCACAACTCCGAGATCAACAGTCACACACTCCACCAACTAAGCCAGCCAGGCACCCCCCAAGCCTTTAAATATTGTTTCCACTGCTTGAAATTCTCTCCCTCTTTACACCCCACCCACACTCACCACACCCTGCCCCTGCAATTTCCACCCAACTTGGATATTAGCTCCTCCAAGACCCTTCCTATCTCTGTTGCCCAAAGTTAACGGCTCTCTTTCCTATACTCTATTATTGCACATATCAACCTACTGTGTTAATTGTTTATATGTCTGTCCATCCTCTATTATATTAGAACAATTCAAGCACAAGGTCTACGTTTTCCGCTTGGCACGTGGAAGCCACTCAATAAATTTCACCATTATATATATATATCCTTATAAATCAAGTCAGTAAAGCCTTCCACAAGGAAGCCTAAGTGTTTAATCTTCTCCATAGTACGTACATGCCACAGCAATGAGCACACAACAGGTACACAACAGTGATGGTGTAGTCAGTAGAACCTGTGCCAAAACTCAGTTCCACAGACAAAATACTCTCTTCAAATCATACGCTCACCTAAGGTAAGGTATTCATGTCCTACCAGAAGTGTAAAAAGGTCATCTTTCTTTCATACACACACATTTCCAGAGTTCTGAGCTAAAGAAACCAATTAAGATCATCTTGTCGAAGGCTTTAGGAAAGAACCTACACTACCCCCAGAGGAATTAAGTGGCCCAAAGGGCCAAGACTAGGACTCAGATCCCCTGGCTTCTCATTTAATGCTTTCTCACAATCCATGCAGCCTCCCTTTTAGACTACGTGACTTCTGAAAGTAAGTGGTACAATTGCTCTACTACTTTTTTTTTTTTTTGCTCTTCTACTTTAGATTAACACGGTTAGTATCCTCATTTCCAAGATTTTTTTAAAATTTCATTTCAAAATTTGGCTTTAATACATGAATACTAAAAGTACCAACAAGTTCAACCAAGAAAACACCATTTCCAGTTCCAATATCAAGCACTGAAGCATCCAATGGAATCTTGCGTTTTTGCATCCACCTTATTAGCCGATTCATACTCTCTTCTCCAAACCTATTAGAAACAGAGAATCCGTTAATCAAATACCAGAGGAATATAGAGCAAAGATTACAACTATATTCCATTTAAGCAGCTTATTCAATATGCTCAATTAAGCCTTTTTTGAAAGAAAGAAGTAGCATCTGTGACTGCTTAAGCTTCACCTCTACTATTATTTAGGAGAGAATGCCCCCAAGAATAGAACAGATAAGGTCAACGTTACTTATTAATGTTCCACTACATCAGCATTAACACTTGTATATGTTGATGGCTCAAAATTTTATTGCTTATTGAAAAAGGACGATCACAGGATGACAGCAACTTCCTAATACAGGTTTCCCCCACTAACTGCAAGCAGAGCATCGCTATGAAATCTTTCCTAAGGCAAAATGGCACAAAGCAAAGAAGCAATGACCAGTAATTTATGTGGTGAAATTTTCTGAGCATTCCCAGGCCCCAAAAACCTCTCTTACGCGTGATACCGCAAGACACATCTTGCTAACAGAGGCACAAAATAAATCAAGATAAAGCACAAACGCTCACAGACACTGTTCAAAGCTATGGCAGCCTTATGCTGGGATGCTGAGTGTAGTTCCCCAGGGAAGGAGCCTGGTAGCAGCACTCTTGCTGCTAGGGGTGTGCGCTGCCTCCCTAATGGCTCCCTGAAAAACAAACCGTGAACGCTATTTTTGCTTTTCACCTTTCTTTGTAGAAGCGAAAATCTTCGGATTTCTTTTAGTTAGCAAAAACAGGTACTACTGTAAGTCTTTCATAAAAGCCAAGAGGCGTAATGTGGATTTTCAAAAAGCAGGGGATATCTGTATTCTCATCAAATTTAAGTCTGGACCATTAAAAGAGAGAGAAGAGAGAGATTCTTTAAATCTACCCGCTAAAGCCAGAATCAGTCCAAGGTTCCCAAGACTTTCAGGTTGTCTTTCTTTGGGGGTAACCACTTAAAAGACACACACACACTCACTCACTCTTCTGAATCATAATTCCACTATTTTTTCTAACTCACCAGATTTCTCCTGTATCTCCATATTCTTGAAAAGTTTGCAGCTCTCTCTCATAGACAGCATCCCAACTATATAATCAAATGCAAAGCAAGATTCTTGAATCAAACTGAATTACGATTTAAATATGTGTCTAATACATTGTAGGTTTTTAGGACAAGTTTAAAACATTATCAGTATTTTCAGTAAGTGCACGTAGATCAATCTCTTAACCTCCTTATGTTAAAAGAATGAAAGACAGATAAGCAGAATAAGTTTACACGTGTAAAGCACTAAGTACAATACCTGACACATAAAAATACTATATATTTTAGCTTAAAAAACAACACAAACAAGTATGTGTCCAAGGATCCCTCAATCCCAAAGTCCAAACTTTCACTGTACAGGTATGGTGTTGTTATAGCACATTTCAGTCTAAAACGTGCAGACACAAAGATTTCCTGCCAATACAGTGGTTACTCGCAAGGGAACTCAACAAACACAAGCTTTGCCTTAAAGTTTAGGATTTACTCCTTGTAAGTAGTTTCCCCTCCCCATCATGTGCCTTCTCTTCCTACTTCACCTCTCTAGAATCGCTGCTCCCTCACAGTCCTCCAACTCACCTCTCGTCCTTACCTATTCCCGGTCATTCGTTCACCCATCTATTAATTCGTTCATAATTACTGAACATCGATTTTCTCCTCGCTCGCTCCTCAGGTCATCCTTTACTCCCACCCCTTCCAGCTCCCATGTCCCCTTGCCCACCAGCCCTACGTCGACCCCACCCCCTCGCCCTTTCCCCAAGCCTGCCCCTCTGGTTCAAGGCCTCCCCAAGAGCTTGAGCCCGTTCCGCACCTCACGAGCCCTTTACACGTCGACTCCCTGAAATGCCTCTTATTCCAGCCTCGGGATTCCAGCCCGTCAGTCCCCTCTTAGCTTCCTCGCGTCACGCCCCCAAGGTCGTCCCCATCTTCCGGGGCCCTTTCCCCCTTCCTATCCCCTCCCCGGGGCCCAGCCCGGGCGGTGCTGCTCACGCTCCCTGCCCGATGCCACACTCACTGCTCTCGGGTCCCCAGCGCCGATGGGGCGAAGCCATCCTCTCCGGGACTGCCCCTTCGGGACCGCTCCGCGGCCCCAGTGCCGTCCCTGTCACCGCCGCCGCCGCTGCAGCCGCTACCGCCGGCGCCCGAGTTCATCCCGCTCCGCGCCCCGGAGGGCCGTTGGGACCACCATAGAGTCGAGGCACGGGCAGAGCGGACTCGTGGGTGGGCGCCTCTAGGCGGCGGGAGGCCACCCTCTCTACTACTCCTGGCCTCCACTTCCTTAGCTCGTCTTTGGTCCTGAGTGGAGGTTCGCAAACCCAGGCGTGGACCGAGGGGGCTCGCCTCCCTCTCTGCCCACCAACGCCAGAGTCAGATGCACCCCCTTCCTGAGGTGCCCGCCTAAGCGCCACTACATTTGGGGACTGCTGTTTGTAAGGGACTGTGAAAAAGAAACAGGTCCAAAATGGAGTCAGTTTTGCTAAACCTCACTAAGACTTAATATCCTACTTAACTGCAGTTTGAGCCTCTTCCAGGAATGGAATTTTAAACCAATCAGTCGAATTTTTCTCGTGGGCACTAGTGAGGTAATCTGCCTGATAAAACCCCCGCCTTCCCTTAAGGGAAAGTGATCTTGCCTGAAATAATCCATTCTTTTTATTATTATTATTATTATTATATTGAAGTATAGTTGACAATGTTACATTCGTTTGAGATGTTGAAATAGTCCATTCTTAACATACTAGCCCCCCCCTTCTGCTGCCTATAAAAACCTTCCATTTTGTACAACTCCACAGAGCTCCCTTCTACTCGCTAGACTGGGTGTTGCCCAATTCATGAATCATTGAATAAAGTCAATTAGATATTTAAGGTTACTCAGCAGTAGGGTTGCCGGGGTGGCCCAGTCTGTTAAGCCACTGACTCTCGATTTCGGCTCAGGTCATGATCTCAGGGTAAGCAGATGGAGCCAGGCATCAGGGTCCACCCTCAACTCACAGTTGGCTTGAGATTCTCTCACCTCTCTTTCTCTGCACCCATGCTCCCCCGCCCCAGCTTGCACGTGCACTCTTGCTCTCTCTCAATAAATAAATAAACAAAATCTTTAAAAAAAAAAAAGTTAGCTGCATTTTTTTTTTAAAACAGGACTAATGAATGTACTGCATTTTGGAAAAGGCTGACAATGGGAAAACCACACTACCTGAAGCCAACACTGCTCACTGAAAATGCACAAATCACCTCATGTATGCACGTGGTAGTAGGATCTGGAAAGTGGATGGGGCAGTCCACTGCATTATTTGGCTTCCTGGTCAGAAATTTAATTTGTAGCTGGGATTCTGCCTTAAAAATAGCATCCTGCCCTCTTGACATCACTGCTGGACATGGGAATTTATGCCCAGAGAAATGATTGCCTTACAACAACACCACATCACATCCTCCCCATCCCCCCAAAATACTCCAATCATGGGGGTCAGAGTGTTGTGGAAGAAAGTGCTGGGAGTCAAGATGCCTGGATGCCTGTCTTAGCTCTGCCCCTAACCAGGCACCTGACCTTGTTCAAGACTCCTAACCTTTGTGTGCTTCAACTTCCTCACCTGCACCATGCCTGAAATAGGCGGTGACTGGTTCTACCAGGTTGCTCCCAACCAATGAACCTGAGATTCATCTGCCTCTTGGTCTGACTACCATTGGGAGTTCTGCAGTATAATGTGAGAAATCTTATGGGCCGAAGGTCGGGGGCGGGGGGTGTTCTGTAGCAGCAATGAACTACTGACAGTCCAATGTCCTAGGCAAGGCTCTCAAAAGCCCCTAGGAAGGCTGCCTTCCAACCAAAAGGAATGTTTCCTAGGCCACGTTTCTGTCGACTCAGCAGACAGAAGTCCAATAAGTCCCTAGAGGTAAACAGCACCAACAGTTCACAGAAACTCCAGTTAGGACTGAATGTGCATCTCCTCCTATACAAGATGGTCCAAGATATTCCAGCAACCACTGGTGATAGAATACAGTAAAAGACAGATGGGGATCCATGTGTATAGTGTTAAAGGACTCAAGAAGGAACATAAGTAACCTTATTACAGTGTAATAAAACCACCAAATGCCACAGGCAATTAGTGCTGCCCTGGGCAAATGGTTGTTTTGATCTTTTCTAGGCTCTAGATGCTAGAGAAAGCAAGCTTCAATGTGACTAAGTCTTAAAAAGTTTTAGGTTCTAATGAAAGATAAGGCCATCTTCAATCTGGTGTCTTGCCAACACTGAAGATGTTTTTGCTGTGTGTGATGAACGCTATAAACAGTTGTTGGTATGGAGCCCTGGAAAAACCCTCTGTTTATACAGAGTTCCTGCTCTGGCTCCAGGATTACTCTGGCTGTTTAGTCCTGACGGCTGTGTGGGGCACCACCTCTGATCACCCAGGGCAACAGGATTCTTAGTGGAGGGTGGAGAAGCTCAAGCCGAGGGGAGCTGCCCATCACCAGGGAGAAGGTGGAATGTGCCAAGGAACACAGTCCTCTCACCAGGTGTCCATTACATAGGCAGGGGGAGGCTCTTCGGGTGCTCTGGGTTGCCTCGTTTCCCTCTCATGTTACCAATCCCTGCAGCCCGGAACCCTGCTTACCTACAACTTCCCCGAAACTGTGCTTTCAAGAGTTCTCACACACTTCCCATTTGGCAAACCAAGGGTCAAGTTCCAGGCTTTAACTTCCTTGATCCTCTGTAGAGATCAACACCGCTTAGAACGCCATTCTTGAAAACCCCTCCCTATTTTCCCAGCACCACCTGCTCTTAAGTGAGCCTTTTAAAAAGGGAGGTAGGCACGCAGCTCTAGAGTTGGACTCGGGTTTTGAGCCCTGACCCTATCATGTGGGACTACAGGCAAGTTCTTTAAGTTCTCAGGGCCTCAGTTTGCCCATCCTTTCAGAATAGTGCCCCTGGCGTAGGGCCACTGTGGAGATTAAATGAGATAGTTCTTGTGAAATCTTACGTGCCTGACACATGGTAAATGCTCAATAAATGCCAGCACGGTTTCTTCAGTTATAAAATAGAGTTTAAAATAGGTCTCTTTGGGGCGCCTAGGTGGCTCAGTCAGTTAAGCGTCTGACTTCGGCTCAGGTCATGATCCCAGGGTCCTGGGATCGAGCCCCTGCATGGGCTCCTTGCTCAGCGGGGAGCCTGCTTCTCCCTCTCCCTGCTGCTCCCCGTGCTTGTGCTCTCTCTGTCTGTGTCAAATAAATAAATAAAATCTTTATAAAATATAAAAATCAAAAAAATAAAGAAAATGCATCTATTTCAGAGCATTGTTAGGAAGATTGAATAAGTGCATAGAATGTACACGTAAAGAGCTTAGAACAGAGCCTGACAGATGGTCAGTGTTCAGTAAATGTTAGGTATTTTTCTTACTATTAGTGACTTCCAATTTCATCATCTATCCCCTGCTCTAGGCTTTTATTTCAGTGGCCTAGATGTCCCTTGTTATGTGAAACTCAACCTGTTCCAAACTGAACTTTCTTGCACTGCCTTCTCCCCCAGCTCCAATGCCTCCAAACCCTGTCTTCCCTGTGTTCTCCATTCATTTGGCCCCTGACCATCCTACCATCGGCCAAAGCAGAGCATCATCCTTGTCTTGTCTTTCCCCCACCCTCCACATACAGCTCCTCCTGGTCTCAGGGCTCAGGGGCATTTTTGCCACTGCTCTGCTTTCTCTTGGGCTACTTCAGGCTCACAGCTCACTGGGGCCACCGCAGCCCCTTCCCAGTAGATCTCCCTCACACCATTCAGCTCTAGGCCACTTCTTTGGTCCCAGCTATCCTCTCTTCCCCTCTCTCCCCCCACAGAGGTCCCCAAAATTCAGCCGGGTTTTTTTCTCCTTCGATGCCGGACACCACCCATTCCTTCCCTTTGCATTTTCTTGCCAGATCACCATAGACTATGGAGTCAAGCCACCTTGAACTTCAATCACAACTTAGTTCCTACCAGGTGTGACCTTGCGCAAGTCACTTAATTTAAACCTTTTAGGTCCCAGTTTCCTTGACTACCCAATGGGCATAATCCAAATGAAACTGGACTTTCTTGTTTCTACTTTCAGACCCATCATAGCAGAGTGTGGCATTTGCCTGCATATATGCGCTTACAGAAAGCATTGTTTTGTTTTGATAAATATATAGAAATGGAAGCTCACCGTTTGCATTGTTTGCAAGTTGCATTTTAACTTAACAACATTGTGGCAATATGGGACGCCTGGGTGGCTCAGTTACTTAAGCGTCTGCCTTCGGCTCAGGTCATGATCCCAGGGTCCTGGGACTGAGTCCCCCTGGAGATACGCCAGGAAGCAAATCAAAGATGAATCCCTGTCTTCATGCAGTTCAGAATATGCCAGGCGAGGAACAAAGGCAATGTGCTGGAGAAATGAATAAAAGAGAGTTGATGTGAAGTGGTGATGAGTGGGAAAGGGGAAGGGAAAACAGAGGAGGAAGACTGAGAACATCAGGTGAAGGCTGCTATCTGGTTAGGGTAATAAGGAAGGATTCTCTGACAGGGTGGCACCAAGTGAAAACCTACAAGAGGTTGTCATAGGTTGTATCCCCAGGGAAGCAGAGTCTAACACTGAGATGAACATGAAAGAAGTTTATTAGGGAGTGCTCTCAGGATCACCACCTCCTGGGGAAGGGAAGGAAACAGGGCTGGGTGGAGGAAGTGGTTGGGCTGGGGTACCACTACAACACCTCAGCTAGCACCCCTTTCCCTCACAGAGCACTCTGGAGCTAAGGTGACCCTTTGGAATTGCCCCAAGTTGGAGGGAAGGAGGTGGACCTTTATCCATCTACATGGATAAAGCCTTGAATGTTGGTTGCCCAGAAAAGGGGGAATGACCTTAGGCAATGTCTCTTTCTTACACTGAGGGTAATCCAGGAGAAAGCAAACAACTTCTCCAGCGACTGGGATGATAAATCTATCAATCCCACAAGGGTGGGTATGGGTCACACATCACAGCATCTAGAGCAGAGATAGAGGAGGAAACCTTACAACTATCTGGGAGAAGAGCACTCTAGGTAAAGGGAACAGCAAGTGCAAAGGCCCTGAGGTAGGATGAGATAGGGATATCCAGGAAGCAGAAAGACTAGTGTAGCTGAAGCAGAGTGAACAAGGAGGGCAGCAGCAGGAAAGGAAGTCAGACGAGATCATTACAAGGTTTGGGGTTAGATCAAGAAGCAACATGATTTTATCATGACCAGTTTAGTTGCTATGTTGAGAACAGATTTGGCAGGGAAGGGGTTAAAGACAGAAGCTGGAATGTAGGGTTTCTCAACATCATCCCATTGACATGGGGGTGGGGGGCTCTCCTATGCTTTGTAGAATGTTTAGCAGCATCCTGTCCTCTAACCACTAAATTACCAGTGGCACCCTCCCCCCAGTTGTGACATCTAAAAACATCTCCAGACTCTACCAAATGTCCCCTAAGGGGTAATATTGCTCCCAGTTCAGGCCTCTTGAGTTAGAGACTGTTAATAATGATCCAGGAGAGAGTTGATGGCTTTGACCACAATGATAAGTGAGGTGTGCTGGTGGTGAGTTGTAAGCCTCTACATGTATTTTTAAGAATGTGCTGACAGTTCAAAGGGGGCGTGTCAATAATGATTCCAAGGTTTTTGGCCTGTGCAACTGTCAGAAAACAGTTCCATTTGCTGAACTTGGAAAGAGTGTGGTAGAAGGAGCCTTGTGGGAGATCAGGAGTCCAGTTTTAAACCTGAAAGATTGAACGAATTGAAGAATAATGATCCCTGAGTTTCTTTTCCTAACTTTGTTATATTTTATTCTCACTGTTATTTTGTTGTTGTTGTTATCTTCTTTCCATGATTTTTCATTAAATTCGTGTTCTTTTGTACCCAGAATCCAATCGCTTCTTACCACCTCCCCGGCTGCCACCATTTCCCTTCCAACCACCCCCAAGCTACCTTAGTCTTCCCCGCTGCGGGCTATTGGAGTACCACCCTTCCCCCTCCCCCGTCTCCCTCCCCCACATTAGTCTCGACACTGCAGCCAGAGTGGTCATATGAAAATGGAAATCACAGCATATTACTTCTATGTCGAATCCAAACCATACAATTTCTTGAATCATCGCCTTCCTTTCATCCTTGAACATGGCAATGTTGGCTTTTATCAGTAAGAGTTTAATTTGCAAAGAGACAAGACGATTTGGGGAACTATCAAGGGCTATAAAGAAGAGGCAGTGTCTGAGGTATGCTGGGCGCGAGACCCACGCAGAGGACACGTCCCCGGGGTCGGTTCCGATCGTGCAAACCTGCTTTTCTCAGCCCTCGCTCGCTGGCGATTCGACCCCTTGGCCTCACCCGCCGAAGACTTCATTTCCCAGGATGTTAAGGGGCGGGGCCGGCCGGAAGGCTGTGTTTCCTCCGCAGGGCATGATGGGGGAGTCGGAGATTTCCATCATGGCGGCTTCCATTTCGGGCTACACCTTCAGCGCTGTGTGTTTCCACAGCGCCAACAGCAACGCCGACCACGTAGGTGCCGGGCCCCCCGCCGCGGCTGCTGGAACCTCCAGCCTTCGTCCCCGGCCGGTGCCTGCGGCCAAGACGGGACCACTCGCGGCTCGTCCCCCGGGCTCCCGGGCGGGCCCGAGGGGCTGGTGACCCGGGCGGCTCCCGCCCCCGGCGAGCTCCTGCTACCTAGGGCTCCTTCGCCCCCGGGATGGGCTCCCTCACTTAGTGCCTGCCGCCTCCTGGCCTTCTCAGGACAGCCGTCTCCCTTTTAGCAAGGCTGTCTCCATTGGCCGCCGGCAGTGTCAGGAGTCGCTTAGTGGAGACCAAGCGCCTGCCCCTCCCTGAGAGTCAGGCTTCTGGACTTGCGAGGGGCTCCCGGGGTCAGCAAAGCGCGGAGAGACCGAGCTTTATTCTAGGAGCCGGGGCACCCAGCCCCGCCCGCCGGTCTCACAGGTTGTCATGGGGTGCGACGAGGGAAACCATGGTTGTCACTATTCATGCTTGTTAGATACGTTCGTGTGTTTTCTTCCCCTCGATGGAATATGGAGAATGTAAACAGGAGTGTTAGGTGTAGGGTCTGCTTGCCTTGAAGTTGCATATTTAGTTTTTTGGTGAATGTTCCAAAACCACGGCGCTAGTCGTAGTGAAATAGGGAAATGACAGGCCTACGTATGAGTGATCGGAAATGCATAGGCTTCGGAGCTCGGAGGGAGCAGAGCTTGTCTGCTTCAATGTCTTTATTTTACTAATTGTCTTTTAATGTCATTTGCCTAGATGGAAGTTTCTTTGTGAAACTAGATAATTTTTATCTTTAAGTCCATATTTAATCTGTCCACCAAATTGAGAGATGATTTTAAGAGACATTAATAGTGAGTTATTCAAATTCATTTAATAAGTGTGGGGGTTTTGAGGTTATCATTACAAAGCAAAATGATACACTGTAGAATAAGGAACTGGATTTGGTTTGATGTCTGCAACTTTAGCTTCCATTAATAAAAACTGATCTCATAGAGGGGATTCTGTTAGTAAATTGGATGGCATTAAATTTTATTCTACTTTTCCTATAGTGTTGATGGTAGAGATTAATGATAGGAATACACACAACGTGGGTTTTTCCAGAGTTAGCAGATGTCTCTGGATGCTAAGGCCTTTGATACTACAGCCAGCTATCTAATAATGTAATGAAGTTCCATATATAGGTGGTTTGTGATACTCCTAATGTCCATGGAAGTGTTAAATATGGTTTCAATAATGGCTTTCTAACATCTCTAGTTTTTGGAGTACCTAGTAATATCACAGTTTATGTAAAAAGCAAGGTTATTGTAAGAATAAGCAGCTACCGGGCGCCTGGGTGGCTCAGTTGGTTGAGCGACTGCCTTCGGCTCAGGTCATGATCCTGGAGTCCCAGGATCGTGTCCCGCATCGGGCTCCCTGCTCGGCAGGGAGCCTGCTTCTCCCTCTGACCCTCCCCCTTCTCATGCTCTCTCTCTCTTAAAT